GGGGGCGCTACAGAACAAATTTTATTTTCGGCTCAAAATTATGGAATTTGAGCTGTGGGAACTTGTAGCTTCATCAGCCTCTCCTACAACTATTTCATCGCATAAGAACCCGTAAAAGCCTTATTTCTCCCAATATCTGGCATGATTGTCCCCACCATTTCCTCATAAAGTCAATATTTTATTTTTCTTTATCGGCCGTTTTCTCAAAACGCAATTTTTCTCTATACTTTTTAAAATAATTCCTCCATTTTTCATCCAATCCTTGTGAAATTTTTACAGAATGAAGAGAAGATGTAATACTAAAAATTTCTTCGTTGAATTTTTGATATATGGGATAAATTGTTGGTGGTGGTGTACGGAGTGTGGATTTTTACGGATTTTACGCAAACTTGAATACTACCTCAGGAAAAACTCATCAAACATTTTCTGATTCGTTTAGGAGAAAAACAACACACATTTTTGGGGGTCTAATGTTTGCTAACATGTCTGCGAAAAAATAATTAATGTCCATGAAAAATAAATGCGGTATTCATTGCGTAAGACATGTCAACAAAATCCAAGATGGCCGCCGTATCCATGGAAACGAATCTTTTTTGTTCAAATTTGATTGCGTGTTTTAAGACTCCTTACTATGCTTGAAATATGTGTGACATTTGCTAAAGCTTGGTCCACTAATAAGCGAAACAGCCTTGAGGTGTAGCCCCCCCCCCTCCCTCTCTTAATAGGCAAACCGATACTTCATTAGTATAATTATGCTTATGATTGTTTGGCATTTTTCTTGTAAATATTGAAGGCCAGAATAGATAGTGATAGAGCTGTATTTTTTTTTTAGGTTACATGCAAACCAATAGTCATGTTTTATTAAGAATGTACCATAATATAAGTAGATCTATTGGCATAATTCAACTTGTATTTATCAATTACATATTTTGAAGGAAAAGTCAAACAATTAAACGTTCAATATGTTATGCTGATTCATGAATAAGCAACTTTTCAAAACAAATTATAGGCTGTGCAGTTTGAAAGCGTCTGAATTTTGTCATATTGAAACAGGGGCGAGGGCTGACTGGTTTGACAGGGTAATCAAATTTAGACAAGGAACCAGATCGAGATGCATGTCACACAAGAATCTTACTCGAGACAGCAACACGGAGTTGTGAATGAAAGCAATTCCTAAATTAATAAATATTATATTTTCAACAGCCAAAATAATTGGGAAAGCGACTCATAAAATGTTTATTCCAACTAACACTAAATTTAACAACAGATGTGAATACACAAACCCAAAGCAAAGAAGCAGAGACGTCAATGCTACAAGCGATACATGATAATTATCAATCTGATTTCGAATTTGGCTATTTTTATCTTGCTTTTTGCGGCCAGGGGCCGGTGTCATAATCGAGGTCACGATCTGATTAAAGCACGGTAAAAAGTCGAGGGGGAAAAAACCCACAAGCACTCACTCATAAGATTATTGTGAGGTTGATTCGTCCAGTTTAATAGTTAGCTTACATAATCAGTGCTCGTGACTGCTTATGACAGCGTCCAGAAAGGGATGAACAATGCACTTGTGTGGCAATGAAATAGTTTTTAGTATTGTGCACGTCATGTTCCCTTCAACTCTTTTGGTAGACTCTAAGCCAGCCTCACTTTAAACTTACTTAATCAAAGCTTGTGACTCCTTATGGAGTGGCCCCGAAAGGGGGGAACTGGGTATTTATGTGGCAATGAAACAGTTTTGAATGTTGGGCATACTGTTCTCTGGTGATTATGAACGTCTTTTTACATTTAATTTATGAGATCTACGTCTATGGGTGAATTTGACTGAAACGATGTTCCAAAATTAGGAAGGGGAGCAGAGATTATTTAATTCCATAGACCCTTCACGGGTCGGTTCGGAGATGGATGTTAAGCTCGGAGGTCCCGCCTCTTAAGTAACCTAATAGTGTTGATAGGGACATTAAACCTATACCATTTCTCCTTTTTTAGACGCTTCGTCACAGTCTGGAAATAAAAATACATGTACCACTTTTTTCATAGACAAAATTGACGTGATAAGCTAACGCAAAAACTAAAGTCATTTCTGAAATCAGCAACCCCACATTAATTTGCTAAAAACTTGACTTAAACATCATGCCACAAAATGTGTGTCGAACAGTTTTATTATTGTTATTAATATTATTGTTGTTATTATTATTATTATTGTTATTATTATTATTATTACTATTGTTACTATTAGTAGTAGTAGTA